AAAATTGAATAAATTTGATTTTAACCTCGTAAGAAAATTTCTTATTTTAGTCTTCCAAATTTATATAATACTTATTTTTAATATTTTTTAAATATCGTGAACTTTTGTTATTAAAATAAGTTATCTCAACATTTAAATCATTATAAGTTTTATTGACATTAAATTTTTTTTAATTTAAAATATTAATTATTTAAAGGTCAAAGTTAAGTTTTAGAATAAAAAATAGTTTTACGTTTAAAATTTTTTACTATCACTCTTGCATAATGGAGGTTCAATAATTTCTTTTTTATTTGAATAAAGAGTCTCTCATCAAACTGTAATAAGAAAAATTTCACAAACTTAAAGCTATGTTTTTTTTTCTCTACTATCATCGGTATGTCCATAAATATTTAGTTTCACGTCTTTGTCGACAATTTTTAAGTTCTAAATTCCTAATTTTTGGTGACATCATTTCACCTTACTCTAACGCGCTAATTACTTTAAATAACACTCATTTTTCTTCCTCTTCAAGCTTTAACATATTGTCTTTCAGAAACGAGAGACTCTTAGCTTTTTCATCTGAGGATAAAAATAAAGAGTTTATCACCTATATATATATCTTTAACCAATTATATCTTTTAATTGTGTCATGTCACTGTAAACACATTTACTTTTAACAGTGACATAGCATAATTAAAAGATATAATTGGTTGACAGTGTAAAAAAACTTTATACTGACAGTATATATGTGATTAACTCAAAAACAAAATAGAGAAATAAAAAATAAAATAAAGCACTTTTAGATTCTTTATATCTAATTTCAAGATGACCTATTTTAACAACAAAATATAATAGTGTTTTAAAAAAGATTAAAAATTGATATTATATCAATTTGGAAGACTAAATTCAAGATTTTTTAATTGACTAACATCAAAGAGTAAAATTTTGGAAGAATAAAAAGATATTTAATAAAAAAAAAAAAAAAAATTATAATAAAGTAAAAGGTTAATTGAATTAAAAGAAAAAAAGTAGTATAAAGATTTGTGAACACAGATTTGAGAACAATTTCTGTATAAGCTCGTCATGCATAATGACTAACTACATCAACTCCAAGCATCAGAGTTGGCAAGAATAATTGTTCTTACCTCCACTATGCAAAAAAGCTAATCAATTATAAGTTCAGTAGAAATACATTAATGATTAATACACAAAGGAAATTGTGTATATTTAGTCCACGTGGGACTTTTGCAACAGAGTCAATTGCAATACGCAAATTCTGCGGTTCTTCACGAGACAAATAACATGCATCTCGTCTCAGCTAAATAACACGAGAGATGATACGATCACTACTAGATTTTAATTTTTTAGCAACATTTTCTTGTTTACATTTGTTAAAATGTTACTAAATATTAAATAAATAGGTTATTTTGCAACACTTTTTTAAAAAATGTCATTATAGATAGAGTAACATTTTTATTTTAATATTATTCTTTCTAATTGTTTTCAAAATCAAGGTCCCATATAGAGTAAAAATATTTTACATAAGTTATTTGGCAACATTTTTTTTGAAAAATGTTACTATAATTGTTTCTAAAATCAAAGCCCCACATCAAGTAGAAAAAAATATATTTTTCTTATCTCTAATTATTATCCATAATTAAAGTCTCACATCGAATAGATTAATGACTCATAAAGAGTATATATAACCATATAGTTATACTTAAGATAAATGAAATTTGATATTTTATATATAATTAGTGGTAACTAATTAAGAATGTCTTCTCCTAAAAGGTAACTAAGAATTCCTAAGAGTTTAACAGACATAAAAAATATAATAATTGATAGTAATATATCTAAATTAAATTAATTATTATTTTATAAATTAACAAAATATTAGCAACATCATTAAAATGTTACAAAAATACTACTTTGCTAACATTTAAAAAATGTTACCTAATTATATAAAAATGTTATTAAAAGTCTTTAGCAACATAGACTATATACAACATTTGATAATATGTTGCTAAAACAAATTAGTAACATTTATACATCATTAAGTAACAATTTTCAAATGTTGCTAAAAGCTATTTGTGTTGTAGTGGATATAGGAGAAGATGCATATATTTCACATGTCAATCTACTCTTTTATTATTTGTTAATGGCTTTTCATCTTACATTATGTTTTGGTACTAACGAATGACAGTTATACATATATAATCTTATATGGACCTTTTCATGACACTCCTATGCAATGCTATTTGAAACAGAATAATCAAAGGACTCGATCAAAATACTAAATTAATAAGTTATTAATTGAATTGATGAATCATTAAGAACCAATATATATAACATAATGGTCAAATATAATATATCACAATTTATGTAAACAAGTATAGTGGTAATCACTAAGATATGATATACTTGAAAAAAGTTAACTTTAATTTAATTCATATTAACCTCAAAACAACTGCTTTGTTGCTTTTTCATTTTTAAAGTATAAAATTTTAAAGTTTTAAAATGGTAAACCAAAGATATTGTCATATTGACAGTGGTCACAAATGTTGGTCGTGTGTTTGAATTTGATTTTCTCAAATAGACAATATATGTGTGACCCTATCGATTTGTTGGGTCAAATATTTTCAAAAACCCAGTCGATCGTCACTCGAATCATACCAAACTACATAAAGTTACGATCAAATAATTTGTTTGAGATGATTTATATGGCCATTATACAGTCCAACTGATTCAATTGGTCGATCTAAACCGTGTCTAATAACACTGATTCTATGGGATCTTCCATGGCCTTGCTTTGATTTGACATATTATATGTGTTTCGTATAATTTAATGTTAAGATTAAATATGTATTTATTCTTTAGTTTCAGGACTAAAATTTCACATTTAAGAGCATATGTTGATAAAATCTCCGCACTTAAATTTTGATCACAAGGATTTGCTCGAAGAGAGGTGAGGATGAATTAGGTTGGGTCGGATTATATTTGATTCTAGTTATTACTAAATTTTGATTGGACCATATTTTAGATCCTCACTTATAAGACTAAGAAATTCAATGAATTCAATGATTAACAAGTTGAATTATGATTGAGTGTATTTAAGACAAGATCAGGAGTTTACCTAAAATATAAATAGCATAAATTTCTACTACTAATTAATCCTAAAATATAAATAGCATAAGTTTCTACTACTAATTAATGTAATTGAGATTTTAAAAATAGTTTGTATTTGATTATTTTACATGATAGTTAGTAAATTTAATGACGGTTACTTATAAAAAAAAATAGTTTCGCATTAGTATAAAAATAAGTTATTAGACTAGAATATTCTGGTGAAAAAAAATGAAATACATTGCAAAGATATAAGGATGAATTTAATTGAGTTATGTTTGATTCCAAGTTATCCCTAATAGGGATAATTTTTGGCATATAATATATACACCTCTTTTTAATAAATATATTTTTTTGTTTTTTTTTTAAAAGTTAATATTCTTTTAATTTATTATTTTTTGAGAAAAGAATATTTCTAAAAGTTATATTTTTTATTTACTCTTTTGTTTTTCATTTTTTGGTCTTATGTTATTCTATCTCTTTCAACTACTCTTTGTTGATTTTTTTTTAACTTTTTTAATTTTTTCTCTCCAACAATCAAAATGTTCACGACTCATTTTAATTATTTCTTAAATCTTATTTTTTCAATGTTAACTTCATCATTTTTAAAATTTTAACTTTTCGCCCATTTTTAAGGTTGTGAACTTTTTTGAAGTCGTCACTTCTAAAAGTATGACTTGTTGATTTTATGATTAATGGTCAATTAGTAACAATATATTTTCATTAGTACTAGAAAATGATTTCTGAAATTATGTTTTGTGATTCTTAAAATATATTTCTAGATGATACTTTTGGAAGAGTAAAAACATGCTTTCAAAAATTACTTTCTAAAAAAGCAAATATATTGTTCAAGAAAGTACTTTTTGAAAATATTTTAACTATTTTAAAGAATACCATTTAGAAGAGTAAAATTGAAGAGTATTTGAAAAATAAAAGAAGGAAGTGCATATATTTAACAAAAATCCCAATTTTTTACATCCCACTACGTCCTTATATTAAGCAAACTCAATAATCTATATGTTAAATTAAACTCAGTTAGGTTGAACCTTGCACATTCTTAATTAGAACAAAAGAAATCCAAAATAAGAGAGAGATTTGTAAATAGTGTATATATATATATATGTATATATATATATAAACTAGTATTTTAACACATATAATGTATACAAATATTCTATTTTAGTCTTCACATATATCATTTTATATAATTATACAAATATTTTATTTTAGTCTTCACATATATCATTTTATAATTTAGTTCTTCTAAAGTTAAAAAATTGCACTTTGAAGAATAAAATGTTATAACAACTATTACTTAAAAAATGAACAATTGATCTTATAATTAATTTTAAATTTTATTTTATAAAACTTTGATTTTATCATAATTTTTTATAGTTGACTTTTTTATCAATAATTATGAACGCACTTTTATCTTATTAGGTATACTTATCACTTTAAAAGAATCAAATCTATTATTTTTTTACCTTTGTAATCATATTTTATCTTCTAGTTTTCATAAAAAATAATAAAATAATAATATATACAAAAACTAAAATCAAACATTTTTATCTACGAGAACCACTATTAACTTACAAGTTTGAATTGTCATAACATGACCTAAATGAAAATTCTCTCATTCCAAATTAAAAAAAAAAAAATTGTTGTTTTCATGTTCAATGATTGTTCAAGAAATTTTCGCAATAAATCAAATATTATTAGTAGTTGTGAATTAAAAGAATATGCACATGTTCCAACCATGTTATCATCCTCCACACCCTAATTTTTACTAATAAATTTTTTTTTTCATGAAACTAAAAAAAATATTTAAATCATTTAAGCAAATAGAAGAAAAAGAAAGATGGATACTAATATAAAAATTAAAAAAAAAAAAAAAATCTAGTAACCAAAACGATCAAATCCAGAGTTAGGTAGCTTCCATTCCAACTCCACCTACCCACGCCCACCACTCTCCCTTTTCCACCACCCGCTGAGAGAAGGGTCCATTTCAGCAATGGGTTTGTACACAAGCTTCATGGAAGAGATAAGCCTCTACACGGGGCTATCACCCACCGCGTTTTTCACCATTCTCGCTATGATGGTTGTCGTTTACAGAACCGTCAGCGCCATGTTCGTGTCCCCCCAAGACTACAACAAACCCCCCGTCGTTTCGGCCCGAGCCCACCCCCGGTTCGACCAGCCCCAACCGCCGCGCGAACCGGTTCACTTGGGTGAAGTAACGGACCGCGAATTGCGATCCTACGATGGCTCAGACCCGAATAAACCCCTCCTCATGGCAATCAAAGGCCAGATCTATGACGTGTCCACTGGCAGGTACTTTCACTAATTTCTAATTTTGATAATCCAAATAAATACTTAGGATTACATATGATGCGAGAGAAGTTTGGAGAGTTTAATTTATGGGGATGGGTTAAAATTAAGTAGTTATAAAAAGATAAAATGGTCGAATAAATGTGTATACGAAATAAGTTTATTGTCTTTATTATAGTCTAAAGTTTTATTTAGTAAACATTTAATAGAATTTTTTATTACGTTATTATTAAAGAAAACTTTAATTTTGATTAGAGAATAACACTAATGATATTACATAGGAGATCATTACTAATAATATCAAAGATATTATATCTAAGTTTTATGCTGTTATAAAATATTTTTACACAAATATCCAATAAGAATTTTACCTTATCGCCATACCCATGAATTAAACTCCTGATTCATTAGTATAAAAACTGAAAATGGGGTTGCTTCTTGTGATCTTGTGATGCATTTCTTTCACCTCTTAAAACCTATACATATTGAGTGTGTGCTTGCTTGGTATGAGTCATAAAAAGCCCTCAACGAAGTGAAACTGAGAGACTTTAGTTGATTATGTATATGCAGGAACTTTTATGGTCCCGGAGGACCTTATGCAATGTTTGCAGGAAAGGAATGTAGTAGAGCCCTTGCACTTCTGTCATTTAAACCTGAAGATATTAATGGGAACCTTGAAGGTTTAGAGGAGTCAGAGCTCACAATTTTAGAGGACTGGGAATTTAAATTCATAGAAAAGTATCCAAAGGTTGGCCAGCTAGTTTCAGAGCAAAGAACTCAGCAAAATGAGGTCAAAGAACATATTCAAGACAATTTGGACCCTAATGAATGCAAGGAGGAAACCAAATAGTAATCATTGTGTTGTATAGTTTGCGTGTATATCCGAGGGATTGTTGTACCTTAAGCAATTTGGTAGGGGTACTGAATCACTATGGTTCAAGCAATTTGGTAAGGGTATGTTTGTTAATACTTTTTCCAAAATATTTAAAAGAAAACAAAGTATGTAGGAAAAATGAATTTAGTTTTTTCGCAAGTTAAAACTAGTTTATGAACAAGTTTTTAAAAAAAAAGTTTTGAGAGAAGTTAATATGAGAGAACTTTTACACATTAACTTATACATGCATAAGATAATTTTTGTTTATAAATTTTATTTTATTTTCTTCTTTTACAAGTGTTTTTGAAATAAATTATCCAAAGAGACTTTAAGTAATGTCAACGAGTGTTGTATTAATGTATATTATTAGTCCGAGAGATGGTAGCCATTTCTTCAACATAAACCTAGGACTAGGAGGGGCGATAGCATCAGGTCCATAGTTGAGAGTGTGCTCAAAAAATATTTTAAAAAATTTATTATAAAGAAAAATTCAAATTTCTTTTACAATGACATTTCAATTTCAACATATAAAAATAAAGTTAATGAAATTTTAATATATACCAAAAGATCAAACACTTGTTCACACACGATAGTTTTTTAATCGACATTTATTTAATTAATTACGAAAGAAGGAAATATGAATTAAATGTTTCTAGTTCTTATAATATACTTGTCTTATGTTTTTAATTCTTATAATTTTTTTTGAGTTTGGTTTGGTTCCTATAAAATGTTATTTTTCAATTTTAGACTTGATGTTATTTTTAAAGTTCTTATAAAATGTAATGTTTTGATAAGATTCTAATAGTATCTTATATTGTGACTTTAGTCATTGATTTTCTCAAATAAATATTTGTAACATCATCAATAAATAATGTATAAAATGAAATTTTGTAATGAACAAATCAACAATTTTTTTTATAATGATTAATATCATAAAATTTATACAGTACGGTGACTCAAAATATATTTAAATAAAAAAATGCATGTAATAAAATGTGTCATTTTTAATAAAAATAAGTATTTAATTCTATATATATATATATATCAAGAGAGAGGGAAAAAAAGGCCTATGCCTATTAGTTCATCCTAGGCCCATGAATTGTGGCCTACATAAACCTCTTGTAATTGATCAAATTCATATACTTTATTTGATCATTATTTACACATCCCCAATATCTACATATGTAATTACTACATATAAGAAACATTCCCTTTCTCTATGCTCATGGAGAAAATGAAAATCTAATTATAATTTGTTGTACTAGTACTACTTTGCATATTTTGGTATTTATTATTGTCTTAACAAGTTGTAAAACACGATAAATTATTAGGTAATGATAAATCATACGATTTTTAACCAATTTTTGCATCACATGTAATTAAAAGACATAAATGTATGTCATACATCGATTAGTTGGAGCCAATGGACCATAGACACTTGATAGTTTTTAATTACCTAATAATTTCTTGTAAAACACACTCTTCTTTTTTGATATTGGGAAGTGATGGAGGAAGTCCATGGGTCAAGGGCCCAACTACTAGGGCTATGGCAAGGAGGATACAAGAGGAATGGGTCCAAGCTCAAGGAAAGTCCATCACATTGTTTTGTTGGGCTTTGACCCAAGCCCAAGTAGATTAGGAGTAGTGTAGGGTTGGGTCTTAGAGCCTTGTAATTTTTTTAGGCCTTGTATTCACGACCATTTAGCTTAGGATTTCATTTGAAGGTCATTTGAATTTAGGGTTATTTAGGTTGCATGTGTAGTTGCATTATAATGTAATGAGATTCACAGTTGGTGTGCATTTCGGCCATGTGCAACACATGCACATGGTGTGACCGAAATGCAACTCAAATGGAAGTCTAATGACATTCCAAATGACTTGCACATGTGGTGATTCGAGTTTAGGCTCCAAAATTTGAATTTTGAATTCAAATTTTGGGCGCCTAAGGTTAAGTGAACCCTACCTTAGTTTCACTTAACCTTAGGCTAACCCATAGTTACCTTGACCTAATTTTTCTCTATAAATTCCTTATGACCGAAACTTGTAGGCACTTTTGGAATTAATTGATGAGTTTTCTCTCCTTAGAAATCTCCTTCTCTGAAAGTCACACCTCCTAAACTCTACCCTACTTGAGCTCCTCTCCTTGTAGAGTTAGGAACTTTTTCTTCTCCGGACTTGGCTAGAAGTAAGCCTAGGTCACATTGAAGCTACTTGGAGTCTTCTTCCTTGAAGTTCTTCTAAGGAATCCGAGAAGCTTTGGAAGTGTTCATGAGAATTCCAAGTGGAATCTCATCAAGTGGTATCAAGAGCATTCGGTTCTTCAAGAGATAAGTCATTATCTTGTCTTTTGAATTTTGGATCCGTGGTTATCTTCTTTTTGTGTTCATCTTGTGTTCATCTTTTTCCTTTTTTTGAGTTCTTGTCATTTAGAGTTTAATCCTTCCTAGATCTAATTTTTGCCTTAAAATTTGATAGATCTAGTATCATGTTGCTTGAATGATTCATTTATGCGCCTATGACTATATGCTTCCATGAATCATGCTCCAATTCTCTTGCCTATTAGGAATTTTCTGCTTATGAGCTTTTTGATTTGTTTGAGTCATAATTGAATTTTATTCGGTCATTGCATGTTTGAGTCCATTTTATTTTTAAATCCATGTCTAGTAGTAATGTGTAGTTCTTGTTGTGTTCATCTTTTCTAGCTATGCTTGTTGAACCGTTTTGAATTTTGTTTGAATTGCATCTTGAAATATTTTATGGATTTGGCCGAGATCCTTAGTTTTGGTATGTGCTCATAATTTTTTTTGTTTCAAGTTGAGTTCATAAACTACTACTAGTTCATTAGTAGTTTTCTTAGAAATTTTAGGTTTCTTATTCTAGAAAATGTCTTAAAATTTTTCTCCCTTATCCGTGAGTTTGATCTTGTGTGTTTTGGATGTGTGCTGAAAATTGTGTTTACATTCAAATTGAAATTTGAAATTGGAGCCAAAAACCGTGCATGTGCTAAACCAAACAAGCAAGCATACAAAGTATGTTACATGTTCATTACATTTTAACCTAATTTGGTTGACATTTGGAATTCAAATTTGAATCCGGTTTTTGGTGTTTCTTTTAAGTATGACCGAGACTATTGTGTGCATATTGTATTAAAAGAAAAAGGAAACTCCTATAAAAAAAAATTATAGAAGAAAGATCCAAAAGAAAATGCAAAGACAAAGTGATTAAAAAAAAATGCAACACCTAACTCTCAAAAGAAAAAGCCATTTAAGGAGTTTTTGTTTACAAGTCTTCTCGGTTTGTCATTTCTTATTGTTCACATAACATTTTCAGCTTACATGTATTGAGTGTTTTGGTTTTATGAATCAATTCTAGAACCTTTCTTAGGTCAATTCTTTCTTGTCCTAGCCATTTCTTGTCTTGTGTCATCTATCTTGTCTTCTTCTACTCTACTCTTGTCTTCATTAATTCTCAAATTTCTTTGCTGTTCATAATCATTGTTTAAACTCAAGTGTGACCTATGTTTGACCTAGCCTATCTCCCTAGAAGCTAGTTATACAAGGTTCATCAAAAGAGGACTAAGAAAAGGAGGAGGAAAGGACATAGGTGGCTCTCGGATTTGGCTACTAAAAAGCACAAACACTAAACACTTGTGGCTGGAAAATTTGGTGGTGGCTAGACTTGATCATCCGTGGAGATCCTTGGATTTTAAAATTTGTTTTGTAATTGAATTTAAAGAAAAAACAGAGGATTAGTGACGGATTTAGAGACCACATTTTTCTTGCTAAATTGAATTTTGTTGCAAAATTGGTTACTAATCCCTCACTAATTCTTGGTGGCTATTTTTAATTTCTCTTTAAGCCACTTGTTCCTTTGCTGTTTAGCTTTGTAATTACCTTGTAATTGGACATTTGAAGGAGTGTCTTGGGTGTGTCTTTGGTACACAACCATCTCTCCTTAAGAGTTCATTTTCGTTAGTACTTGGTGAGAGTGGTCCTTGATTGATCTTTGGTATCTCTCAAGCTCTGACCCTAGGACACGTTTAGTTAGTTTAATTCTTGCACTAATACTTGTTTAATTGCTTTCATTCGTCTAGGATATTGTAGTTCACAAGTCATCTAAATAAATTTTCATTGAAAAGAATTTTGGTAGAGATTAACTACAAGAAGGATTAGTAATTTTTACTTGAAGAGGCTTGGTTATTAAGTGGCTCTTAGTAGCTCACCTCCCTCCAAAGTTCAATTTGTATACTTAGTCCTCCAAGTACTTAGTCTTAACCTTGCATTAAAAAAAAATTTCTTTCAAAACCTCTTTCATTAAAAGAAACCTTTCTCCTATATGATAGTACGCTTCGTCTTGTATTTGTTGTCTTTTCATTTGGCCTGAAGCTTTTCTTTCTTTATCTTGGCATTTGCACATTCTATATTCTTCAACTTGCTTGTACTTATGTTTTTCTGAAACACTAACACACTTGTTAGAAATAATAACATGTATTATATTTGTCTCATTCAAAACCTCACTTGGAATTGCTTCATCTTCGTCTGACTTAGCAATCCCCACGTTTTTTATGATGACAAATATAATTAATCAAATAGTTTCAGATAAACAGATAGATAGAGTAACATAATCAGCATTATCAGTGTTGTGCACATGTTATAGCGAGTCTATACTCCCCCTTAATGTATGCTCTCCCCCTTAGTGGATTTGTGCACATGTTATAGTGAGTCTATACTCCCCCTTAACGGATTGAATCTTATTTGATTAATTACTTTTTCTATTTCTCCCCCTTTGTAATCATAAAAAAAAATCCAGGCGACATACAAGAAGAGATCACAGTGTACGAGATTAAATTTGGCAAGATAAGTGTCGCAACCCAAAATTTTTTTATCTTGCGACCTATGGTTTAGACATCCTTTTGAAAATCTCATCAATTAAGGAATGCTCGGACACCAGACTAATCCTTAATTAATGATTTTAAAAATAGGTTCATGGAGTCGCCACCAATGTTTTACTCAAAACATTGAAAAAAGAAAAGGTTTTTAAAAGTCCAATAATGGCCTTGATAACCAAGAAGAAGACCCGAACGAAATGTCTACATCTTTACTTGCCTTTGGAAAAGCAACACATAGCTATTCCAAAG